TAAAGTGAATGAGTGAAATGAACATAGCGGATTAAAAGGGATTGGTTGAGGGATGTGAGAGAGGAGAAGATAAGCAAGAGAGAGAGAGAAAGGGAAAAGAGAGAAAAGGGAAGAGAAAGACGAAAGAGAGAAGGAAGGAAAGAAAGAACAAAATAATCTCATCTTCCAATCAGTCTCTAATCAACACTATCTCTATACTCTTATCATCACCAATTTCCTGTTCCTCCTCTCTATAAGAACACGTCAGACACTAGGCCAGGAATTACCACTGAGTACAACTTGCTGGGAAGAATTAGTAAACACTGTCCCCAAAGTAACAGACAAGAGGATAATATTTGTTTTATCTCAAGAGTTTAATAATATCTTTTGTTACGTGTTTATTGCTCGTCTGTATGTTGGTTTTTGTTGACTCGTTTATGTACAGTCAGCCACACGAGTCAGGTTACCTTCCCATGTCTTCCTATAAACTAACGCTGTGGCATCATACCGCCATCTGTGGTCCAGCTCACAAACTATATCTCCAGGTTACAGACGTTAGTTATGAGTCCCTTAACTTTCCTCTCTGTATGTTTCCGAGGTTATGTTATGATTTACTGCGTGTGTTGCTGTCAAGGTGAGCGTGTTTTGAGTGAGTGTTGTGAACTGTTGGAACACACTGCCAGAGAGCGTTGTGATGGTACTAAGTGTGAACTGTACCAAGACCAGACTTAACCAACACTGGTGAAGGTACAGATACATTCAGGAGCCGGTGCATACCCAGTACTTGCCAATAGTGCGGAACAGCAACGTGACCAAGCGGCTAACAGACCAATCAGTGGCGAAGAGGATAAACTAAACGAAAGTGACCCTGTACATACCCCGTCTGCTGGTGGTGCTGCCCCTAGTGGTAAGTGTAAAGGATGGTACAGTCTACGTATATTGTGTCAGTATACAGCGCACGTCTAAGTATACTATAGTCTATGTATACGTATAGAGCTCCACAATAGTTTCCGTGTATTCTATATCGAGAGAAAATTCTGTTTACTGCGTCGTTCATAACACAATAAACCTTGGAGAGTTTGACGGGGTAAAATATTCTATCAACTTATTCAGGAAAAAGGAAAAAATATTATTAAACTAAATTAGGCGACTTTGTGAGCCTGTGAAGGTAATTATTCTCTCTCTTTGATGTATTAGTTGTGGATAAAGTCAATTACTGAAGGAAATTGGTCTGCTTTTCTAAGTTCTTGTGTTGTATTTAGAATTCAGTTATGGTTTGTGTTTTAAGGAATTTTGGACGTATAAAATGAAAGGGTTTTGAAGCACACACACACACACACACACACACACACACACACACACACACACACACACACACACACACACACACACACAGCACCTCGGGACCTACTGTCATTATGAAAACGTTTTATATTATTTTCGGTAATTCGTAGAATCCGATCTCCCCAAATATGCAATTGTATATATTTCGTTTCCTCTGGCTGCTGAGCTTGATCCTTTCAGTTAGAACTCGCTAATTATTATAAATATTATTATTACACATCACACACCGTACAAGCACACACACACGACACAACAAGCACACACACACACACACACACACACACACACACACACATTCGTATGCACACAATATTCTCTCTCTCTCTCTCTCTTGGCAAACGTCTTCCAGGAGCTGCCCGAGAATTCATTTTCCAGAAATAATTGGTCATTAGTCAACAATATCACCTTGTTAGCCCTGCACACCTGTTGGAAGGATGTCTCCAATTCACCTGGTGTGTCTGTCTGTCTTAAAATGTTGTTTAGTTACTTTTTATCTATGTTTTGACTTTGTTTATTCAGCTTTATTCTTAAAATTGTTATTATTGTTGTTTTTGTTGTTGTTGCCGTTTTTATATTTATTATTATTATAGTCTAAACTGTTGATTATATTATGATATTACCTATTATTATCATCATCACCATCACCATCACCATCATTATCATCACCATCATCATCATTATTATTATCAATCAGTCTATAGCCATACGAACACCTCCTTTTACCTTCCCACACCTCCGTTAAGTACACACCAATACACGGCAGGATACCTCAAGCTCACACACGCCAAACTCCCTCACGCCCACACACACCAAACTCCCCCACGCCCCCACACGCCAGGTTCCCCCACACCTACACACTCCAGGCTCTCCCACGCCCGCTTATAGCACTATCTTCCCCCAGACTCCTCTAACACCCTCGAGTCGTAAACTTCATTCGTAAAACTCGAGATGTCAGCCTCGTAAACTCTCTCAACCTAACCCTTGACTGTAACGCCTTTAAATATAAGTTTTACCTGGGGTGTATGTGTGTGTGTGTGTGTGTGTGTGTGTGTGTGTGCGTAAGAAATTGTTTGTATGTCTATGTGTGTTCGTGTGTGTGTAAATGTATGTAAAAAAGTGTTTGTATTAATATGTGTATGTGTGTGTATGTTTGTGTGCAAGTGTGTAAGAGTGCGTA